GGGGGGGGGGGTCTGTCCAGCCTTCAGTCTCAGGCTCTCACACTCCAGCCGATCGGACCCGCGGCCCAGCCCGGTTTCTGCGCGGGGACGCAGGACGGGCTCTGCTAACGCCTCCCGGACTCCCTGCCTTCACGAGTGGTGGCTCCCTGAATCTGCACCGGCCCCTCCGGCCCCTGAAGCACGTGGGGAGCGGACTAAGAGGAGAGAGCGATGCACCTGCGCCCATCCCATCACTCCCTTCCCACGGAGGCGAAGAAGCCCACAGAGCCAGGACGCCCACGGGCCCTGACTGGGTGGCGGCCGATCAGGACGGGCACCTGGACTGCCGGGCTCCAGCAACAGGGCCCCTGGCCCCTGGCGACTCCTCTATAGGAAGGGTCCAGTCACTGAACTGGCCACCCAGCCACTGGGTCACCTGTTCTGTCTTTTCTCTGTAAATTGAGGTGATATCTGAGGCAATATCCCAATTGTTTGAGGCCCCTGAATCCTGGGGGCCTGACGGAGGGTCAGAGGGCGTGGAAGGCCACCATCAGAGGCACGCCTCCAGGGCCTGTCCCGTCTCCTTCCTGTTAGCACAGGCCATCACAGCCTGGGACTGTCCCCCGGCTCCAGTGTGTGGGCAGTGGGCAGGGGCCTCAGCCCGGAGGACACAGCCCTTCTGACCGCAGGACACGAGGGGCCAGATGCTTGAGGCCACACATGTCCTTTCAAGGAGCGGTTCCACCTACAGGAAAACCAGGAGATGACCAGCCCAGCCCTCACTCATCTCCTGACCCTGACACCCATGGAATGTGATCTTTAAGAGCCCGATAGAAACAGTGCCTATTGCCAGGAAAAGCACGCTGATTAAATAAATTAGGGCTCATCCAAGGGCAGGGATACTCTGCAGCCAGTACTGTGTGCATGCCTGTGTGTGTCCATGTGAAGGAGGCGGCCGTCCCCGTTTGGGGCCAGGGTCCTTGCTGCTTGCCCAGATCAGAGATTAGCAGCCATGCCTGTTGGTTGTGAGCAGAGTGTGCTGTAGCTGCCTCCTGGGGGTGGGGGAGGCCCTGCTGCCCCATGAAGGCTCCAGTGGGCTCGGTGAGGGGACCCTGACAGGCCCGCAGACACATGAAGGGTCTGGGCTATGCCACTGTGGCAAGATTGTGGTGACTTTTCCACTTGGTCAGTGGGCTGGGCATGCCCTCAGTGTGGGGCGGTGCCCTTCATTGCTCAGGGACCGGACTGGGCAGCAGGCCGGCCTTTGCACAAGTTGACATCATTCCTGTCGATCAGGGAGCTCAGCAGAACATATTTTTGTTTTTTTTCCCAGGTTGAAAACAACTTCCTTTCGAGGGTTCCCTGGATTGCAGCGTTCTCTCCCTTTGAAGTTTGGCTTTGCCCTTGACCCTGGCATTGTTTTTCAGAGCATGGATTGCCCAATTTTCCACTGCCCATGAGTAAGCAGCAGGCTATGTGAAGGCAGAGCTGAAAACAGTGGGTGACGGAAGGGACCACGCAGGTCCCACCCAGAGAGCCTCTAGCTTCTGCTAAGGATGGTGGTGACAGCACTTGCGCACTCAGGGCTAACATGCTAGGGCAGCATTGTTCCCCTTTCACAGGCGAGGAAACTGGGGCCCAGGGAGGTTATATCATGTGCCAGGATATGGGCACGCAAGGTGCCAGCACAGACGGTTTTGCCAGGGGCCACGGTGCCACTGAGGTATCCAGCTTCCATGCCCCCCTGCGCCAGGGCCAATACGACATCAAAGCTCAGGTCCTCAGTGCAACCTGTGACATCTGGACCCACAGGTCCTGCCACCAAAGGCAGGAGAAGAAAGAATGCAACACAGAGGCTCAAGATATGTGCTTTGCGGTGGGGAGGGGGCTGGAAGGAAGGGCCCTTCATCCTGAGGGGTAAATGCAGGAAGCGGGGGTCAGGATAGAGCCACAGAAGAATGAACTTACGAGATGGACAGAGAGATGATGGAGTAGAGAGACGTGGGTGATGGAGACAGGTGATGATAGTGGTGTAGATAACAGGGTGATGGAGAGTTGAGCATGGGAAACAGTAAGAAGAAACTTACGGAGATGCGACAGTTCTGTTTTCTGGGCTGGGGGAGGGTGGACATTGAGGCTGGACCATGGGCTGGAGTCTGCAGGGCTGGGATGAGGGGGGGGGGCTTCCAGTGCTTCTCTGCACCTCTGGGAGCAACCTGTCCACCAAGCTGGGCCGGCCTTGGGAGTCAGATCGGGGGGCACAGGAGGCCAGGCCAGGCTGTGGACACTGCAGGTTCAGACACCCAGAGATGACCACAAGTATAGCCACCTCGCTGTGACTTGGCTTGCGGGGGGTGTGTGTGTCACTTAGTCCACAGGACAGACAGGCAGCCCACACAGGCCTCCAGAAAGGGTCCTACTCTATTTGCGTCATGGGGTCAGACAAGGGGGGAGCACGGTCAGGGTTTGGTGGCCGTTTGTTTTGCTGCTGCTATGAGGCAAGCGATGGAAACACTGGGCAATCGATCCCTGTGGAGAGGGACTTACTTCCACTACATGCAGGACCAGCGAGGCCTCAGAGGGAGGCGGACGGCCAGGTGCACAGCCGGTGAGCTGCCAGGGGCTGACCATCTGCCGGCACACGTAGGCGGGCCCCGGATGTTTACCGGTTATCATTGCGTGTGTCATTAAGAGAACATTTCTGGGGCACATGGATTCTATGCTGAGTAAGCGGGGGGAACAGTCAGAGCACAAATTCTTCTGGAAATAGAACCATTTAGGAACTCACAGCAAAAGTCGTGTTAGCCAAGTCCAAAGCAGCGGCCTGGTCCACTCCTTAACCGGACACCGAACTTTGCTCTGGAAAAATACTGACAAACATGACCGTGAACTTCCAACTGCCATCATTTTCGTGACCTTACTGTGATTGTTGCAGGGGTGGGGGGCGCGGGGAGATGCTGCAGCTGTGCCCTGTCTTTGGTCACAGGCACAACAGAAGGCCTTGCCAGGGCCCCAGGTGCAGTGGCCAGAAACGAAGTTAGTGCATTAATTCTAATTTGGTTATTAAAGCTAGGTAATGAGCTAGATAGTGCAAGCACCTGACCCTACCGAGCGCATGTTTCCTAGATCACGTAAACCCAGGAGGATGGGCCACTGCACAGGGGGAGCCAGTCCCCCAGTCTCCGAAGGCCACCCTGACAGGCACTGGTGGCCATTTCTCGAGCATCTTCTCAGGACTTGTGGCACACTGCGAATCCCCGTGGCGGAGGGGTTCGCATTACATGTTGCACACACAGCATATTCCATTCTTCTCCGCTCGCCTCGCTTGTGCGGCCTCACAGTTCAGGGATTTCTCTCTGAACACAGAGCTGCCCACCTTCCGGGGACCAGGTGTCAGCAAGAGAACCTTCAGCTCCCGGGAACAGTGCAGCCATTTCTCACTGTCTTGGAAGGTGCAGTGACATGTCTCTTGCAAACCAAGAGAATATCCAAGAAATAGGAAAGACTTGGTATTCGATGCCTGATAAAGATTTGGTCTGAGCCCAGAAAGTCCGAGGCAGCCTGGGGTCTGGGTCCCGAGGCACGTCCTCTGGAAGTGCGGTTAGTAAGGCCAGCCTCTGGGCTGTGAGGAGATCGGGCAGCTTGGCCTCAGCCCTGGGGTGAACCTTCTGTCCCCTTCCCTCCTCCCACCTTGCAGAGGCTGTGGTGACCGGAGTGAAGTGGGCTGGGGCCCTTTTTCTAGCGGGAGAAGCAGTTCTGGGCTTTGCCACCAGGAACCAGCCAGGGCTGGTGGAGACCTTGGTGCTAAGCCAGCCTTCCTCTCCGCTCCCTGGGCCTCAGTTTCCCCATTTGAAAACGGCAGGCGGGCTGGCCTTGTCCAGCTGGCCTCTGGGCTTTCTCTGGGTCAGCCCCGGTGCCCCTGGAGCCAAGCGAGCCAGCGTCATCCTCCACTTGGCAGTGAGCCCCGGGTGGGAACCCCATACCAACAGGACAAACAGTCTTGGACGGTTTACCTTCTTTCCACCCACGGTTTGCTCAGGGCCTTGAGCGCACGGGCAAAACAAACTTATTTGGAACACGGCCGCCATCACGCAGCTCTGCCAATCATTAACCTCGAGGTTCAGGCGACCCGGCCCGCGCCCTTCAAAAGGCGCGCGCGGCGCCCAGCGAGCACCCACCGCCCGGCGAG